CCCCAAAACCCCAAAACCCCAAAACCCCACATTATAAAAAAAAGATTGAATTAGTAATAATATTTAAATTCAAACTTTAAAATGGAACTAGACGCAAGACAGCAAAAGCATATTAAAAACATTGGCACTCAGAAGAGGATTGGACAAGAGAATGCTGAGATATTTTATCAATCCGCTTTACAGGAGTCGTCCAAATTTCCTTTTGGATCTCCGATCCAAAAGGAGTACAACTCTGAGGAATCTCATAGGAAAAAGCCTCCAAAATACCCGAGCCCACCTACTAATAAAGAAAATACTGAACTGATTCTGTCAGAGGGGTCTCTAGAGGAAGGATTCGAAGAGAATAAAGCAGAGGATCAGATTGAACAGCATATTTTGGAGCTTGAGAAGGATAACCCCTACCTTCAGAATAAGCATCATCTCGCAATGGAGCAACATCAGATTGCATATGAGCGAATGGAAGAGGAGAAAGGAGCAAAGCAGATTAATGGTAGTGAACTAGTGGAACAGAATTGGGAGAATGTGGATCGAATGAGGAAAGATAAGATGAGCCAAGATTATCTTAACCAAGATCGAACAGACCAAGATAGAAGAAATCAGGGTAAAACTAACCAAGGGAGAATCAATCAAGATAGAACTAATCAAGGTAAAGCCAATCAAGGAAGAGCCAATCAAGGAAGAGCCAATCAAGGGAGAGTTAATCACGAGAGGATAAGGGAAGGTGTGATGAATCAAGGAAGAATTCCTCATCATCAAATGCTTCTTCCTTCAGAAACTATCGTTTCTTCATCATCTACTCTACATAGAGCTACAATTGAGGAGACCTCTCCAGAAGAAGCTCTAAAGCCAGATGAAATTAAGCTAATAGAGTCTGATATTCGTCAGAAGGTGGGACAAACTGAACCTACTACAGCTCCATTAGCAATGAAGTTCCTTCAAAAATTACATAATTTCAAAAGAGATAGATCAGCTTCTCCTGCAAATCAAAGAGCTCAAGAGATGATGAGGGATATACTATCTCGCCATGTGCATGAGTCTGAGGTTGACATCCTTCCTAGCAGAGGTAAGCCAAATATTTATGCACTTTTGAAACCTTGCCTATATTCAAACCTATCTTTTATATAGTAGAGGAGAGTAAATCATTTATGACTGAGGAGGACTTACCGAATAAGGAAATCCTTGCTCAAAGAATGCTGGCTCAAGATATCGAGCCAGTCCAGATAGAAGCTTTAGAAAATTCTACTGTACTTGAAAGAGATGGGAAACTTAAGAAAGACTTCCTACAAGATATCGTTCAGCATCTAGTTAATAGAAGTAGTAATGAAGTTGAAGGTGAAGGAGAAGCTGTTATTGTCAAAGATAGAGGTCTAGAAATGGGTAGAAATACAGGGTTTATAGATCATAAACCAAAAATATCTCCCAAATTTCCGTCAACTCCAGAAATTAGAAACCCGTCTAATGAGGCTCCTTCTAAATCAATTCATCCAGAATCAGATATGTCTCAGAATAATACAAACCTTTCTATAAATGAGCTGTTTGGAAAAGTGCAACCTGGTGGAGACAAAAGAAATTTATCATTTAAAGATCTGGCTGACGCCAAACATACCTCTCATTCTTTCACTAGAGATCTTCAAAAACAGAACAAGAGAGGTGAAAACACACTGAAAAGGATGGTTACTACAATGACCAACAAAGGGAGACAACCTATGCCAGGGAGTTTCTCACTTGGCGAGTTGGACAGTAAGTATTTTCTTTACAATTGGATCCTCCAAGCCCCAGATCTTACTTAAAGTTAACTGGTTTCCTAAATCTGGCCTAATCTCTTCCTCTAGAGCCTGAAATTTCCGAAATAAAAGAGAAACTCACCAAAGAGATCAGGTAAGAATTGCCCTAATCCCAAAATCTAGCATCTCATTTGACAAAGAAGAATACGAAAAAGAGAAATTTCTGAAGCAAGAACGGATAGCTAATGCTTTACTGCACTGTACCTCCAAAGGGCTGCTCCACAACTCCTTCACGATTTGGAAGAAGGCTTTCCAGGATGCAGTCAACAAAGAAGCGATGGAGCGCGAAAAAGCACGGTTAAAACAAGAACAAATGCAGAGGAAACTAGAATCTGCGAAGAAATTCAGAGCCACGAAGGAGCTACTCCTGAAACATATGGTCCTGAGAAGGATCAGAAGAGTAATCCGGGCAGAACAGAAGTGGATGGCTATAGTAAAATCAGAGCTGACTGTTTATACGAAGAAGAGATTTTTCAGGTGTTGGAAAGTCTTTCATGGCATGAATAGGATTGAACAGAAGAGAAAACAGAGAATTAAGAAGGCGGCTATTAAGGCGATGAAGGACCATGTAGAGAGGAATCAGCTGAATTTAAAGATAGCGACTGTGTTTAATGACAAAAATGATATACAAAGAGCTTTTAGTTATTGGAATAATGAGACCAGGAAGATCTTGCAAGTCAAGGAAAATGAAGAGAAAGTAGTTAATTTCAGGAAAGCTCATTTACAAAGAAATGCATTTGCAATGTTTAAGGAGTACCTCAACATTATGAGAGATATCAATTCTGATGAGTTCCTTCGTCTTGCAGAGAAGCAGGATTATTTTGAAATTGGTATCACTCAAGTCCAAATGCATAAATTTTAACTAAAGGTTGATTAATTCCAATTACATAACTTTCTATCAATTGCAAGTGTATAATATGGGGTTTTGGGGTTTTGGGGTTTTGGGG